TAACAGCTCTCCTGAAAGGGCCCGCTGGGCAGAACCGTGTCCCATGGTCACCTGAGCTGCGAGGGAAGTCAGGATTTTCAGCTGGTTACCCTAGTGGGTTCTGAGGGCATGGAGGGAAGGCCCTGGAAAATGGACAGTGTCCATTAGTGTCTGCCTCTCCAGCAGGGGACCTTTGGGTTCTCTCTCTCCTCTTTCCTGTCACAAAGTATTGCAACAAATGTCCTTGAGCCTTGTGCACAGGTGTCGGGGTTCAAGAGCAGGAACCCAGAGGTGGCACTGACCCACGCTGAATGGGTGAAGCAAAGGGACTGTGTTTTGTGCATTTCTCATTTTAATAGGTGCTGTCACTTTCAATGGGTGCCCTCCAAGGTGACTTGCCAACTGTATTTCCTCCATAGTGGGGGAGGGTCCATCCCCACAGTCTCCCAGCCAGAGTGCTCTCTCAGGTTGGATGGCCCTTCTGTCCTTGGCCATGAAAGGTGGAGCCCACACCGGGGTCTGCCTCCTATTGCCCGTGTGACCTCAGGACGTCACTGCCACAGCTTTCTCATCTGTAGAATGGGAATAATAGATTCCTACTTTCCCAGACAAAGACCTCCTCGTGGGACTGGCACAGACCTGACTCACGCACACGGGACTCTTGCTATTCACAGACCCCTCCCCAGAACTCCTTTCCAGCTCAGCCATGGGAGGGGTGGCAGAGCTCATTCCTTTTCAAGCACAAGGAGTACTGTGGCATCAGCCCAAAGTGGCCTCCACCTGAGGCAGCACAGATGGACGAAAGCAAGAATATAGATGCCTACAATGTGTGCATCTCCAGGTAAAGAAGGATCACACCACAGAGGTGAACACCAAAGCAGGGCACCAAACAGCGGATCAGGATCTTGCAGAGAAATCTGCACCCCGTGCTCACCACAGCGTTATCCTGCCAGCCAAATGCAGAAGCAGCCTAGTGTCCACTGATGGATGAGTAAATGGTGTGGCCTGTCCACACGGCAGATACTATTCAGCCTTAAAAAGGAAACAAATCCATCTGCTGTCACCCACAGGAAACCATGCCAAGTGAAGTAACCAGATGAAGGACACATACAACATGATTCCGTTTATACACAGTTTCTAAAGTAGTCTAGTCAAAGAACCAGAGTAGAGTGGTGATGGCCACCAGGGAAGAGGAGGCAGCGGAGAGCTGCGGTCCAGTGGGCACAGTTTCAGTTGTGCAAGAAGAATGAGTTCCAGGGACCTGAAGTTGGCAGTGCTGGAATGTACACTTCAATGTGTAAGAGTGTAGATTTTAATATCAAGGGTACTTACCACATTTTTTAAAAAAGGTTACAGAGGACCCAATACAATACAATCCCCCAAATGTTCTTTTCCATTCATCATCTGTCATCCACCCATCATCCATCCATCATCCTTCAATCTGTCACCCATCATCCATCTATCTATCCATCATCATCCATCTATCTATCCATCATCCATCATCTATCCATCCATCCATCAAATCCATCAGTCACCCATCCATTCATAATCATCCATATACCATCCATCATCCATCCATCCATCATCTCTCTGTCATCCATCCATCCATCATCCATCTATCATCAATCCATCACCCATCAGTTATCTATCATCCATTCATCCACCCATCCATTCATCCATCAATCATACATCTATCATCATACATCCACCATCTATCTATTCACCACCCATCATCTGTCCATCCCTCATCCATTCATCATCCATCAATCTGTCATCCATCATCCATCCATCCATCTGTCATCAATTATCCATCTGTCCATCCATCTATCCATCATCTATCAATCCATCCAACGATTATCCATCAGTCATCCATCTGTCATCAATCCATCTATCCATCATCCATCAATCTTTATCCATCATCCTTCCATCTATCCATCATCCTTCCATCTATCCATCATCCTTCCATCTATCCATCATCCTTCCATCTATCCATTCATCATCCATCAATCTGTCATCCATCATCCATCTATCCATCCATCCATCATCCATCCATCATCCATCCATCCATTCTTCCATCCATCCATCCATCATCCATCCATCATCCATCCATCCATTCTTCCATC